GTCAGGAGCGAGGGTTTTTGATTTTGATTTGATTTTTTTGTATTTTAGTTTTTTTATGTATTTTTTTTGTTTTTTTGGGGGTTGTTTTGGGTTTGCTGTAAGGGCTGAATTTATTCCTTAAAGTCGTTTTTGTTTGTTCATATGGGATAGTAGGAATAGATAGTTAATTGCAGTAGTATTGGTCAGCAGAAATTATGATAGAACTTCAGATAAAAAAAAATATATAATACAGCTAATCGTCATTTTTGTAAAAATCATATTGGGACAAAATTCATCAAAAAGAATGAAAGAAAAATATTCTTACTCATATCAAAATAGATGAAAAAACAACAATTCAGATTCCCCAAACACATTAAACAAAGTCGCATGTGCCTATATATATATATACACATTGTTACGGTAACGGCAGCGTGGGTATGGCAAGCTTTATGGTCGATAACACGAAATGTCCACCTGTTATGAGCGATCCTCCTTCCCCCCCTATCCTGTCCCCTATCCTCCCTATTCCATACTCTCTCTTTCCCCTCCCCCTTTTCCCAGGAAATTCTGCCTCGTCGCCCCCCCCCCCCCCTCTTTACCAGTCCCTCCCTACCTCCCTGCCCTACCCGGCCACCCCCACCTACGACCCTATCCTCCCTTCCCCTACTTCCCCTCCCTTTTACCCATTTTTCCCCCCTTTCTTCCTCCCTCTTACCCCTTTTTCCCCTCCCCTCCTCCTCCCTTCCCCTCCCCTCCCCTACCCCTTCCCCCTCCTCCTCCCTCCCTACCCTCTCCCTTCCCTCCCCCCTTCCCTCCTCTCCTATCCCCTCCTCCTCCCTCCCCTACCCTCTCCCCCTCTCCCCCCTCCCCCTCCCTCTCCCTCCCCTATACCCCCCTCCCCCTCCCTTCTACCCCCTTTCCCCTCCCCTCCCTACCCCTTTCCTCCCCCTCCCCTACCCCTTTCCCCTCCCCTTCCCTACCCCTTTCCTCCTCCTCCCTCCCCTTTCGCCCCTCCACGCCCATCTATGACACGTCTGAAGTTCCATCCGTTTTGAGAAGCGGCCGTTGCAATATTTGCCTTATGGGCCGGCAGTTAGGCGTCGCCGCGGCGTTGAGCCGTTAGGGAAGGAGGGAGAAAAGGGAGATTAGGGGGAAGAGGGGATGTTAGGGGAGATAGGAAGGAGGGGAGATTGGGGGAAGAAGGGAAGGAAGGGCAGAAGAGGAGTGGAGGGGAGATAGGGGAAGGGGGGAGGAAAGGGGTGGGAGGGGAGAGAGGGATGATTAGGGAAAGGAAGGAGAAGAGAGGGATGATTCGAGGGGAGGGGAAGGAGAGAGTAAGGGAAGGAAGGGAGAAGAGAGGCGTGGGAGGGAGGGAGAAGGGATGATGAGAGAGGAAGGAGAAGAGGGGGATAGGAAGGAAGGGAGAAGAGAGGGAGGGCGAGGGAGGAGAGGATGATAGGGAAGGAAGGGAGAAGGAGGGAGGGGAGGGAGGGGAGGGAGGATGAAGGGATGATGGGAAGGAAGGAGAAGAGAGGGAGGGGAGGGAGGAGGATGATAGGGAATGGGGAAGGGAGGGGAGAAGAAGGGAGATCGGGAAGGGAGGGAAAGAGAGGAGAGAGGGAAGGAGGGGAGAAGAGGAGAGAAAAATTTTAATATGGAAGGGATATAGGGTAGGGGGAGAGAGGGAAGGAAGGGGATAAGAGGGGAAGGGAGTAGGGAGGGGAGTTTAATGAAGATAGGAAAGAAAAGAAGAAGAAGGATGGAAGGATAGAAGAATTTGAGAAAGAGCGATGAAGGAAGAGAAGAGAGGGACAGGATAGAAACAGGATAAATGAAAGGGGACGGAAAATGTAAAAAAGAAAAGGGGAAAATCAGAGAGAACATGGGACGAAAGAGGGAAAGGAAAAAGAGGAATAAAGGGGAGAGAAGAAGAGGGGAAATAAATGGGCTCTAGAATGGAGAGAAAAAGAGAAGAAATAGAGAAAAAGCATCAAGAGGTAGAAGGAAAGAAAACAAACAAAAGAGGAGACGGAGTAGAAAAGAGAGCGGGAACAATAAGGAAAAATTAAAGACGAAGGGAAGCGAAAGAAAAAACAAACCAAGAGAGAGAGAGGGGGACCAAACAGAACAATGTTCAAGGGAGACAGGAAAATGAGACGAAAAAAGCGAGAGATTAGATCAATTCAGAAATAAACGAAAGGGGGAAACAGAGAGAGAGAGGCAGAGAGAGAGAAGAGAGAGAGAGACGAGAGAGACTGAGAGAGAGAAGAGAGAAGCGGCGAGGAGAGAGGGAGAAAGGAGGAGAGAGAGAGAAGATCCAAACCAAGAGAGAGAGGAGAGAGAAAGAGAAAGAGATCCCAAACCCAAGGGAGGAGAAAAGAGAGTGAAGAGAGGAGAGAGAAAGATTCAAACCGAAAGAGAGAGAGAAAGAGATCAAACCAAGAGAGGAGAGAGAGAGAGGAGAGAGAGAGACGATGAAAAGAGAGTGAGAGAGAGAATGAGAGAGGAGAATGAGAGAGGAAGAGATGAGGAGAGAGAATGAGAGAGATCAAACCAAGAGAGAGAAGAGAGTGAGGAGAGAATGAGAAAGAGATCAAAACCAAGAGAGAGAGAGGAGAGAGAGAAAAGATCAAACCAAGACGAGAGAGAGAGGAGAGTTGAGGAGAGAGAATGAGAGAAAGAGAATCAAACCAGAGAGAGAGAGAGAGAGAGAAGAAAGAGATTCAAACAAGAGAGAGAGAAAGAGAGTGAGAAGGAGAGTTGAGAAAGAGATCAAACCAAGAGAGAGAGAGAGAGAGAGAGAAAGAGATTTTTTCAAACCAAGAGAGATGAGAGAGAGAGAAAGAGATCAAACCAGAGAGAGAGAGAAGAGTGAGAGAGAGAATGAGAAAGAGATCAAACCAACGAGAGAGAGAGAGAGAGAGAAAAGAGATCAAAACCAAGAGAGAGAGAGAGAGAGAGAGAGAGAGAGTGAGGAGAAAGAGAAATCAACAAGTGAGAATGAGAGGAGAGAGAGAGAGAGAGAGAATGTAGAAAAGAGATCAAACCAAGAGAGAGAGAGAGAGAGAGAAAGAGATCAAACCAAGAGAAAGAGAGAGAGAGAGAATGCAGAAGAGATCAAACAAGAGAGAGAAGAGAGACGATGAGAAAGAGATCAAACCCAAGTGAGAGAGAAAGAGAGTTGAAGAGATGAGAATTGAGAAAGAGATTCAAACCAAGAGAGAGAGAGAGAGGAGAGGAAGAGATCAAACAAGTGAGTGGAAGAAGGGAGAGAGAGAGAGGCGGCTGAGGAGAGACTGGAGAGAGAGAGAGAGAGAGAAAGAGAATAAATCAAACACAACCAGAGAGAGAGAGAGAGGAGAGAGAGAGAAGAGATCAAACCCAAGAGAGAGAGAGAAAGAGAGAAGAGAGAGACAGAGACAGAGAACAGAGACAGAGACAGAGAGAGAGAGCAGCGGTACCGACCGACCGCCGGAGCCGCGGTCCGCTAATGACTAAACACTTTAGAGGGGAAAATAGGAGGGCCATTTTGGATTTCGCTCGTCAGTCCTTTCGTCCGGAAATTTCGGATTTGATTCCCGGAACTCTTCAGACTCTTTTTTGTGTCTGTCTGTCTGTTTTTTTCGGATTTGATTTGTGTTTTTTTTTTCCTGTTTTTTATTGGATTTACTTTTTTGTGTTTTCTTTCTTTTACTGTTTTTTTTATTGGATTGCTTTATTAAGATTTGTTTTTGTTTTTTGCCTGTTTTACTTTTTTTATTGGATTTACTTCTTTTTGTTTCGTTTTTTTTGTTTGTTTTTGATTTATTTCCTTTCTTTACTGTTTTTTATTGGGTTTATTTCTTTTTGTTTCGTTTTTGTTTGGATTTGATTTGTGTTTTCTTTTTTGCATATGAACTGTTTTTTTTGGATTTACTTCTTTTATTGTTTCTTTTTTGTTGTCTACGATTCTATTTTCAATCTCTTCCTTTTCTGTTTTTTTTTAAATTGGATTATACATTCCTTTATTTTTATATATCGATTACTTATATTTGATTTTTTTTTTTTACTTTTCTTTGTCTGTTCGCTCAATTATTTTTCTCCTTCTTTTTTCTTTTTATTTTCTTTTGTTTATTTTTGCTCTCTTTTTTGTTTACGGAGAGGAGGAACAGGTTGAGCCGAGGATTTCCTTTATTAGTTTTATATTTATTGTATATAACTGATAACTAGAGGGGCAGCGCGTTGCGAGTGTGTTTGGTGAGTGCTTTTTTTTTTTTTTTTTTTTTTTTTTTTTTTTTTTTGTGTGTGGTGTTGTGTGTGTGTGTGTGTGTTTTTGTGTGTGTGTGTTGTTGTGTCGATCTGTCTTTGTCTGTTGTGTATTATGTGATAATGTTTACTCTGCATGCCCCTACGTTCGTGGGTATGTGTGCGTGCGTGTGTTTGTGTGTTTGTGTGCGTGTGCGTGTTGTGTGGCGTGTGCGTTGTGTGTTGTGTGATGTGTGTGACTGGAGGTGTGGTGTGTGGTGTTGCGTGCGTTGCTCTGCGTATGCGTGCTGTGCAGTAAAAACCCCGTTCGTTCCCCTTTCTCTCCCCTTCTTGTCCCTTCCTGTTCCTCCCTAAAGCTTAATCTGTATCTTCAGGTTTATCGCCTCCATTCGCGGTTACATCCGGGATTTAAAGGATATTCGCGTGACATTGCGCCTATATATATATATTATATATATATATATAATTATATATTATATATATATATATATATATATATATATATATACATACATTATACATATATATATATATTATTATATATATATATATATATATATTATATATACTATATCTTATATACTGAATATATATTGTATATATAACATTTGAATGTACAGTAAATATAAAATAGATAAGATAGATAGTATAGATCAGATATAGAGAGATAGTACTTACTGATGCTAGTAGATAATAGATAGAATTGTATAGCGTTTAGTCTGTGAATCAAGTTTCACGACTAGATATTAGAATAGACTCAAGATAGACAGATCAAA